TTACCCTCTCTAGCAGCCTGGGCACTCAGAAGCTCTTTCCTCAGTAAATACCAGGGCCACACTGCCTTCTCTGGCTCAGAGACCAAAGTATAAACCACCTGAGTGTCACCCTTTCTGGTTCCTGATCTTCTGGTTCTCTGAACCAGGCACAGGGGTGTCTCCTTTGTACACTAATAAGCTTGCTCTCCTCTGCTGCAGCCAACCCAGCTGTTTTGAAGTCTTTAGTTACCAGACTGCCTGGACTTCTGCCCCTTGGCAGCTTATTTCAGGATAGTCACTCCTATCCCTGTCACCTTTGAACTGTTAACTTTAGCGCTTGGCCTTTGCTCAGCTGCCTGCCATATATTTTAGGCCTTGCTCACTGCCCTTTTCCTATTAAAGTAACAGAAGCCCTTACTCCCTCTTATTGTATGTATGCACCCAAGGAAATTAAACACTATTAAGGATATGAAGTCACTTGGATCTCAGATATAAAATATTCTTTAGCTGGATGTAAAGCTGGTCCATCAGAAATGTTACATCCTTTAAACAAATTGAAAAGTAAAAGCATCTAGCATTGGAACAGAAAGTAAGAACAGTCTTTCAATAGACTGAAACAACACTTATCTGAATCATCAGTACTTATTTTCTTTGATGTAAGTAAGCTAGCCATTGTAAGAGCAGAAGCCAGGAACTGCAGATTAGAGGGAGATGATTAATAAAAAGGAAAGGACAGTCAGCTGAAGCCAGTAGCATACTGATTTAAAACAATGACTGATGCTAGGGCTTGTTATACTCCAAAGAAATTTCTCACTGCAGTAAACACATCTAGAAAATGACAAAATACTGGAGGATTATATTTTCTTAAACTTCTCACTGACCCCAAAGAGATAAATAGTTATCCTTATTCCTTAGATCATGTAAGCTTATCAGTAAGCTAAGCAAATGCAGTCTAGATGAAAGCAATGTAAGGTAGATACATAACTGGTTGGATCCTGATGCTCAAAGAGTAGTTATCAATGGCTCAATGTCTAGGTGGGAGGGGAGGTATCAAGTGTGGTTCCCCAGGGGTATGTTTGGGGTCCAGTATTGTTTAGTATCTTCATGAATAATTTGGAAGATTGGACTGAGTGCACGCTTAGCAAATTTGCAGGTGACACCAAGTTGGGTGGAGTTGCAGACTCCCTGGAGGGTAGGGCTGGGATGCAGAATGACCTTGATAAGCTAGAGAAATGGTCATTTGAAATTCAATAGGAAAAGTGCAAATGACAAGGCTGGGCTGCTGTACCACAGAAAAGGAACTGGGGGTTATAGTGGACCATTAGCTCAATGAGCCAACAACGTGCTTTTGTTGAAAAAAGAAGTATACTGGGCTGTACTAATAGGGATGTCACCAGCTTGTCAAGGGAAGTGATTTTTTGTCTTTATTCAGCATGCACCTACTCCAGACACTTTTAAGAAACATATGGATGCTTATCTTGCTGGGATCCTTTGACCCTAACTGACTTCCTGCCCCTTGGGCAGGAGGCTGGACACAATGATTTGACAAGGTTCCTTCCAGCCCTGATGTATATGAAATGAATCAGCACTGGTGAGGCCTCATCTGGAGTATGGGGTCCAGTTTTGAGCACTGTACTGCAAGAAGGACATGGCTAAATTAGAAGGAGTTCAGAGAAGAACAACAAAATAATAAAGGGTTTGAAAAGCAGGAAGATCTGAATGAACTGAACTGTGATTAATTAGTCTGCAGAAAAAAGATTGATGGGCGATCTGACAAACACCTTCAAATACCTGAAGGATGGTTATACAGGAATGGCAGTGATACACTTTCCTTTGTAGGTGACGTGGCAGGACAAGGAGCAATGCCTTAAATTGCAGTAAGGTAAATTTAGGTTGGATATTAGGAAAAACTTTGTTAACATGAGGGTGCTTGATGGGAACAGCCTACATGCAAACGTTGTGGAATCTCCATTGTTCGAAGCTTTTAAGAGCAGGTTATACAAACACATAGCTAGGATCCATCAGGGATGATCCTGCATGAGGAAAGGGCTGGACTATTTGTTCTTCAGCCATACTATTCCAAAATTCTCTGATTCAAATGTGCTAATAAGCAGGGATCCTGGTTTTCTTTGATAAAAAAAAAATCCCAATTTTCAGGTTAAAAAATGTAACTATAGATATAGATATCAATATAGATATAGGTATCTAGCTAGCTAGCTATATATATCTATCTCTAGACAGACAGACAGACAGACAGATAGACAGATAGATAGATAATTGTGTTTCATTTAATCATGAAAAAATGTGGATTTTGGGTTACTTTTTTTAACTTGAAAATTGGGGATTTTTCTATCAGCAAAAACCAGGATCCCTGCTGGCAGCAAGGGGTAGACCCTCATAGCTGGGAGCTCCTCAGTTGATGGTGCTCCCAGGCAGAGAGGAGCACTTGGCTGCATGTTCAATTAACAGTGTGACTACAACAGGCTATACAATTATTACACATTTTTTGTGGAATAACTTTGTAGTTTATTACTTGTAATTGCTTGAATGTGTAGCTGGGCCACAACTCAAGGTGTGATTACTTGGATAATCACACCTGACATGTAACATGTAAAGGGGCCCATAATCATGCAAAGGGGAAGTAGGATCTGGCCCAAGGAATCTGACAATGATATTTTCACTACTGACAACTTGAGACACGTCTCCTGCTAATAGTTAGGCACTGCTTTCATGTGACACACTGATCTTATAATTGCTAATCAGTGAGAAAACCCCTCAGCCTTAGTATACATACCAATTTATTTGGTGCTTCCTATATGAATTGTGAGGACCTAGTACAGGGTTCTCAAAATAAGAATCTTTTTAATGTGAAAAATGGAGTGAATTTATTTCAGTTTGAAGCTTACACAGAGACTTTTGAGTAGAGAAGTCATCAGTTAGAAGTAAGTTTTTTAGAGCTAGTGGGAACCTTATTCCTTAATTACATAGTTTGAATCACTTCTTTTAATCTACCTGGCATTAAATGACCCTTTAAGTTGTCCTCGGAGATTATTACAGCAGACCTGTCTGGAAAAATCTTTTGGCGAAATATAGATGAATGTTTTATTTATCTATTTTCTGTGACAGTTGTGTTTGGGGTGTTTGTTTTCTTGTTTTATTTTTTCCCCATCATGTGATGGAGAGTATATAAACATTGCCCTCTTAAATTAACATTTTTTTTAAGAGATCATGAATAAAGGTCTTGTAGGTGTCTGTCTTGGTGTTGGGATGAGGGGTAAATGAGGTGGTATATAATAATGGCATAGCAAAGTAGACCTTTAAACAAGGCGAAAAGATTCTTAGAGTCCTGGAACTATATCATGGCTTGGCAATGGTCAACAAAGAAAAAAGGGGAAATTATCAATAAGGTAGATGTGTGTATGAGAGGTTTTTGTTTTTGTTTTACTTTTCATTTAAAGTAAAAGTTTGCCTCTTGATCTATATCTGGTTTATTATTTGATAGCAATCAATATTACAATACATGGATGCATTGATACCCTAACTAGTAATGGCCTCTTACTCTTTTCTAGACATTTTGTTGTTTTGCTCACAACAAGCTGAAAGTTTGTTATGGAACATTCTTCTTTCAGAAAATGTCATTCTTTCTATTGCAAAATTTCCCAAAGGAATGCATTAATTTTGACAAAATTTTGTTTTGGAAAGGAAAAGCATTTTAACAGGTCAAAACAAACCATTTGAATGTTTATGATATATTACGTTTTTCATGCTGAAATATTTCATCTTGAAATTTATATTAGTTTGCCTTATAAAATTAACATTTAAAAGAAAAATTAAAATAAAGAATTTCAATTTTGGCTAGTCTGAAGTTTTTCCTTCCAAAAGTTTCATTTTGCAAATCATTTTGAAAATCCATTCCAACTAAACTAATTTTCAAAATTGTGTAACTTCCTCCAAAATGGAAATTCTGATTCTCTCACAGTTTTTAGTCACCATTTATTTGAGTGAATCTCTGGAAGGTTTCTAATCATTTAGCAATTCATGTAAATATTCTGCAATAAAATGGAAATTTGGCAATAGAATTATTACTATTAATTAGTATACAGCTAAAAGAGTTCTTAAGCTATTTCACTTATATAGATCATGTACTATTATATTAAATACCACAGCCTTTAAAACTAATTGTGGAACAGTCATTTTAAAAATACCATGCCAATAAAAACTTTGCTTTGTTGCATTGTTCATTTTAGTAATATCATGACATATACCATATTAAAGGTTTTTTTCTATTTTAAAAACTAATCAGACTTTTAAATAACTTTTCTTCTCTTATACAGTGATACTTTTAATATGCTGGGTTTTTTAATGAAAGAAAGAACTGCATCAGAAAATGTTCACACTACAGTAATATAATATGTGACAAGACATTAATTTAGTATAAAAATCTGTATCCCTGGAAAATATATCTTATTTAAGACTCATCTATTACCTCCCACTCACTTGGAAAAAATATTCTGTGAATAAAAAAAAATTAAACCCTAAATTTGCTTAAGTCAATTTTCATGCCCCCCAAATGACCAAGCTCCTTAAAAATTTAGCCAGTATTTTTAAATTTTGGTTTGAGTACTTTTTAATGAAAAAAAATCCTGAGAAATGCATTTTGTCTTCAAACCTTTAATTTAGACAAAAACAGTTCTCATTTTAAAACAATGACTGGACAGAAAAATATTTACCAGCTTTTGTTTGTATTTTCTCCACTTCTCCTGTGAACTTCTGTCTATATAGAAGTCTATGGGTGTTTGTAGCAATTCTTTTCAGTCTTGCTAGGATATAAGCTATTTTTACTATGCCCGAAAATAAAACCTCTCTTCTGCTGAATCATATCAATACAGTTAAGGGGAGAGAGGAGGGAATACAGAGCAGATGGCTTAAGGGTTTAAAAACTCCCAACTTTTCATAAATTTAAACTATAATACTGCTTTCTAACATTTCTTTATAACAGGGAACTTTTTTTTAATTTACAGATGGCTATCCAAAAGAAGAAATGATTTACAGATGGAGAAAAAACTCTGTTGAAGCTGCTGACCAGAAGTCTTGGAGACTCTATCAGTTTGACTTCATGGGTCTCAGAAACACTTCAGAAATTGTAAAGACTTCTGCAGGTAAGAATGAAATTACTTGGATTGCTCATTTCTAAAGGTTAAGAGTGCTCTTTTAGATTTTGTGTGCAACATGAACCCATCTGTGCTTTCATTCTCACAATCTTTATCATTTGATTTACTACATTAAAATCTATCATATATGTTTGGCTCTAACTGGGTACATTTACATGATACATTTACTCTGTGGCTCACTAATTAGCTCCATAGTAAAGTGTCAGCTTCTACATGTGTGGTGCTATTTGGTCAGAGTAAACTAATTAACCAGTATAGTATGCCCAATGCAAGTTATTTACTACACCACAATGCACGTGTAGATGCTGACCAGAGCTGGCTGCGTCATCAGGGTGCTACAGGGTGGGGTTGCCTTCCAACTAGTCCTGCACTGTAGCACCCATGTGCCCTAGCCAGCCCCTCTGCAGCATATTGAGCAGGGTCAGAGAAGCCCTGGCTAGCAGGCTGACTCCTGGGGCCCCCTACCAACCAGAGCTGTGCTGCTCTGGTTGAACATGTTGCGGTCCCACGCACACGTATAAATGTAGTGCCTAGGAGGAATAAAATCTGGCGTGAACTATACCAGCATTTATTTCATTGAATTAATTTCATATGTAGACACATCCACTGAGTGTAAAAGTGTGCTGTTTACAATTCTGATAGCTACTCTCAGTGCCTCCTGGTTGCTTAAGCTGGCCAGGGAATTATCCCCCAGCTATCACAGTGTTCATGTCCTGGTCTTCCCTCCCAAGTTACCTCTTTCCAAGAACAGATTTAAAAAGTTATTAGAAAATGTTAAAAATTATAATTACATGGCTTTGTAGTATTGGAAGGCAATATAGGACCCCTCACATAGTGGCTACAAAGGTAAGTATTTGGTGTATTGTGATGATCTAGGACATGCAGTTGGTTATCCAACCCAGGATAAAGTGAGTAGAAAGTCTCAGCATGACACTCTAAAGAGAAGAGAGAAAAGTCCCCATGCATGGTAACTGTATTGGTATAGTTGTGAGGTTATAAGGCATTTTCAGAAAATGGTTTTAGCATGTGGTCTACAACTGCTGAGGTGGAGAATGCTCAAGGACACTAAAGGTCTTTGTGACCATTTGTGTATGTGTGGATTTGGGTTTGGTCCATCCCCTCAGTCTTGCATCCTATTGGTGGTCTTGGCCAGTTGTCTTCGTATTAGGGATGTCTACTTGGAGTCAAGCCAGGTCTGGCCTTGGTTGTAGTGAAAGCACCATGGAACTAGGAAGCTCTGTTCCAGCTCTTTAGCTGCTTTCTTATCAAAGGAAAGCTGCTCTACTTCATTATACATGCACCTTCAAGACTTCCTTGGGAAGGGAGTTTGATCAGTAACTAAGGGCAAATGTGCAGCCAGCAAGAAATAGCGAAGTACTTCCATGGACTAATGCTCTCTTTCCAGTTGGGTGCTCTTCCACATTTACCACCTGGGACAAGATGAAGCTAAGCTATATAGTTAAGGTGTTAGTAGCTGCATCTACATGAGACACTGACTGTGCAGTCGTTATCGCACAGTCACTTAGTACTTATATAAACAAGTACTAAATGACTGCACAGTAACTGGAGTTACTGCACAGTAGCATCACTGAATAACTTTTAGGTGATGCTGACTGTGCACTGCAGTAACTCATTACTACTGTGCAGTAGCAGCATGTCACGCTTCCTGCCATGTGACACTACTGTGCAGTAGTAACAAGCTACTGAACAGTCAGAGTCTCATGTAGATACAGTCAGTCAGAAGTAAAAAAAAATAGGCCATATAAAACCAATTTCTAATACAAACAGACTTTGGTCTACAGAATCAGCCAAAATTCCCTGAATCCTCAGGAAGTTGAGAGGCAGAGATTGTGATAGCTGAATTATAGGTATAAATTTATACATTGTCAATAATATCCCAGTAGCCCCAGATAACATTACACTTATCTCTTTGAGACTGAAACTGGTGTCATAAATATTTATAAGGCAGGTACCCTATCAATCTCAAAGTGTACCCAAGATAAGTAATCTCCCTTTTGCCAAAGTGGCACTTGAAGCAATTTGGCTTTAGGTCCACTTCCTTGAATGACTGAGAATGGAGATTACATGGTTCAGATGGTCAGTCCAAATGTGATTGTAGATGACCATATCACCTAAACAGGCAGCAGCATAAACCAGATTTGGGTAAAAGACTTGGCCCATGAGTTTATGGAATATAACCAGTAGGCCTGTTTAAAACAGCTAGTATTCGCTTCAGATTTGGATTCAGCCGATTTGGGGGACAGTGATATGATTTGGAGATTCTGCCACAGCCAAATCAACTGAATTTCTGAATCACCCCCATCTCAATGGCCTGCTCTCCCAGCTCCCAGCTCTTTGAAAAAAAAGCCTCCATTCACCAGATGCTGCTAGACCGGGAGGCGGGGGAAGGGTGATCCCCACTGGCCCACACCATGTGTGGGGCTCTGCCACAAGCCCTCCACCCTCACCTGCTCTCCCAGCCCCCCCCACCATGGCTGCCCCGCCTGCCCCAGCTCCTGGCCATTAAAAAAAAACAAACCCTGACTCTTCAGCTCCTGCCTGGCAGTGGGGGTGATCCCTGCTGCCCCTACTGTCCCATGCCATGTGGCAGGCTCTTTCATGAGGCTGAGGCTGCTGCACCAGCTGCTGAGTTGGGGCTTCTTTTTTTTCAAAGGGCTGGGAGCTGGGGCAGCCAGGACAGCTATGGGGGGGGGGTGCGGCTGGGAGAGCAGGCGCGGGTCAGGGGGTGATCAAGGAGACTGGGAGAGCAGGCAGGGGATGGTACCTGGCAGGGGGCCCCCCATGTTCCCCTCCCCCCTCCTCCAGCCCCTGCTCCCCCTACTTACCAGCATGGAGTCCAGGTCCAGCTCCCTGCTGCTCTGAGTGGGGATTCCCTGAAACTCTGAAGCTCTGCAAATCTTTTCCAAATAGATTCAGACCTTTTCATTGGTCTCCTGATTCAATTCAAATTTGGAGATTCGGCCACCAAATCAGGCTGAGTCTCCTCTGAATTGAATCAGCCCTCAAAGCTTCATGTAGCCCTAATAACAGGGACCTCAGGCAATCCAAACAGTATTGTTTAAAACTGGTAAATGCTAAATGTGGTCAGAAAGCCAATCTTTTCCTAAGACTCCAGAAAGTCTTTCTAAGTCCTGAGAGGGATCTGTCAATATCCATTGGTCAGATATAGGATAGTAACATATCTTGCTTCCTCCAGTAGATTCAGTAATTCACTGACCAATGAGAGGGGATATGTATTGAATGTGGACAAAGCACTGGCTTCGTCAAATTTTAGGTCAAAACAAATGGTCCCATTCAGTTTTGGTACAAATATGATTTGACTCTTCAGGTTACTATGAGACTATTCATCCATGACCATAGTCATCTCATGGTTCAATATTTATTGTTACTCTTGCCTGATCATATCTCTCAGCCTCTGGGAAAGTGGTCTTCATATAGGTTCAGACTAGATTTGTTGCTAATAAATGGATTCACCTTGGGCCTAGTGAAAATACCTTGGACAAATGAACAGTTGGGCCCAAGTTCTCTACTCATGGGTGAGACCGGTTCTGAACCATTTCAAATCATAGAGTTGCAGTTGCCTGTAGGCCTGCATCAGGCTCTGGGGGTTAGGCAGCTATAAACAGATTACAAACTCACCAGAGGGGACCAGCGGGAATTGGGGGAGGCTCTGTTCCCTTGGGCACTACCTGGGGTTACTAGGAATAAGGGCCACAAATTGTTAGAGAGAAGGTTCAGGCTGGACTTCAGGAGACATTACTTTAGGGTTAGGGCTGCCAGGCTCTGGAATGGGCTCCCAAGTGGGGTGGTACTCTCTCCTACCTTGGGGGTCTTCAAGAGGAGGCTGGACAGGTATTTGGCTGGGGTGATATGACCCCGGTTCCCGTTTCTGCCTGGGGAGAGGGCCGGACCTGATGATCTGTTTAGGTCCCTTCCAACCCTAAGTACTATGGTACTATGAAACAGATGTTCCCAATCATTCCAGGGTTTTAATAATGCTTACATGATATATTTGCAGATATTTCTGGATATTGGATAACATAGTTTACTGTCTATTCTTGCTGGTTCACTTTTTATCATCCTTGCCATTGGACCATTAACTTCAAATTAGAACTTGAGGAACAAAAACTTTGTCGCAGGATTAAAGTCCCAGAGCTGTATGCTTCTTGTGTGCAGCTCCTGTACAAAATGGGCACATAACAATTTCTTCTTGGTGTTTGAGCCAAATTCTTTGAATCTCTCCAAAGATTTCAAGAAAATAAGACCAAGTTTTCAGCTGTGGTGCAGGGCAGGGGGTGAGGGGTAAGAGGGGTAGGGAGGGAGGAGGGCTTCTTTCCACATCATCTCTTGTATCAGATCTAAAATTTCCCAGGGATGCCTGTGCTATAGGGATTGAAAAGGCAAGAACTGCTGCCTCCTGAACCATAGACAAAAGTGAAGAAAATAGTTGATGCTAATGGTGCACACAGTGGCAGTGAATTTGCACAGCCTGGTCCCCAACTATTGAACTATTCCACCAGACTTTTCAACTGGGAGTGGCAAATAAAGATTGAAAAAGTTTGATTTTCAGTGCCTAGTGTAACTCTACTAAAGTCTGAGACATACAATTAGTCCCTTGGCATGTAATAGTTTCCATGGCACCTCTACCAGAGCAAAAAACTTTCATGGCAATGGTTTTTCTTTCTTTTTTTATCAGAGATGAGAGTAGTGCTGCCTCACAGGAAGAGGGAGCATAGTCCATAACAGCCAGAATATATTTGTACCCAGCTGTGAATTTTCAAGAGGTCCCACCAAATCTACCAAGCCATTCAAATGGATTGTCTGTCACTCATAGAGGGACCAAAGAGGCTTTTTTTTTCTTTTTCCAAGGGGTAGGAAGCTAACATTCTGGACATGAAGCATAGAATTTCCTTATATAAGTCTGGCCAAAATATCTGGACCCAAATCTTATTTAAGCCTTTCCTTTG